ACACTTCCTGTTTCCTTGCTACACTCCCTGCATGCCTGCTACACTCCCTGCATGCCTGCTACACTCCCTCCCTCCATGCTACACTTCTTCCATTGGGCCCATGGTGGCTTATTTCACAGTCGCACTTAATAAACAAGCATAAAAACCAATGAATTTTAAACAAATGTTTGGATGAATGTGTGGGGCATATGCTCATTCACCAGGAGACTGACTCACCTACGCATGGTGTCCCAGCGGTAGGTGGGCAAAATTTCCACCTTCGCCCCTCTCTCTCTCTCTTTTTTTTTTTTTTTTTTTTTTTACAGGGTTTGACAAGGTTAAGGATTCCTAACTGTATTGACAAGCTAAGAGCTGTTACCTACATCAGCTCATTTGAAAGCATTTTTATTGTTATGAGAAATACAAGTAGGGAACAGGATGAAGTTGGAGCCATCTGTGGGCCAGCATTTTCATTTGATCATTTGACTATCTCGTTGACATCATTATGCTGTATGAATGTGTTCCATACTCGAGTCATCCTGGGTATATATGATCTCAGATGGAGTGATGTTCTGGAGAAGGTTACAGCCAGAGTGAAGTTGCTGCTTTCTGCCTGTCTTGTGGCATAAAAGCTTGTTTCACGCTGTCCTTGAAGTGGATCCAAGTGTGGTACATTGACAATATTGGCCTTGTATGTAACAGTAAGGCCACCCACATCCCTCCTGTGTTGAAGGCTCTGCTGAAATGACAGATCCATCCAGGATTGGTCCAGGTGAGAGATGAGACTGCTTGCTCTGTTCTCTACTCTGTCAAGCAGTCATAGATGTGTGGGGGGGGAAGGGGAGGCAAACCAAGAAAGTGGAGCATACTCAAGGTGTGAGCGTACTTGTGCCTCATACAGAATCTTGCAACCCCTACTGTCAAGCAGATGCGAGATACGGCGAAGTGCTGTAAGCTTCTTGGCTGCCTTGCAAACAAGGCAGCCAAGAAGCAAGGTTCTTCATGGTCAGTTCGGAGTCAAATTTCACCCCAAGGATATCGACTTCTTCTCCAGGTGCCAACACCCTCCCATTCATCCTTACTACTGCACCGGCATAACCATCATGGTGCCTAGAGACCATTATCGTTTTGTGTTTTCTCAGGTGCAAATGTTACTTGCCATCTATTTCCCCAAGCGGATATAGCTCTTAGCTGGTGATTGAGATAGCTTAGAGCAGCTGGCATTTCTTCTCTTGGATAAGTGAATGTCAGTGTACAGTCATTTGCATGGGTTTCTGGGATGAGATAAAGAAGGTCATTGAAGTAGACATTCCATAACAATGGTCCCAGCACACTTCCTTGTGGAACACTTGCCCCAATAGGATGTCTTGCTGATTCCATTCCATTGAGAACTACTCTCTCTCATTCTCTCTCTCGCTCTCTCATTCTCTCTCACTCCCTCCCTCGTTCTCTTGCTCCCTCGTTCTCTCCCTCCCTCGTTCTCTCCCTCCCTCGTTCTCTCCCTCCCTCGTTCTCTCCCTCCCTCGTTCTCTCCCTCCCTCGTTCTCTCCTCCTCGTTCTCTCTCCTCGTTCTCTCCCTCCCTCGTTCTCTCCCTCCCTCGTTCTCTCCCTCCCTCGTTCTCTCTCTCCCTCGTTCTCTCTCTCCCTCGTTCTCTCTCTCCCTCGTTTCTCTCTCTCCCTCGTTCTCTCTCTCCCTCGTTCTCTCTCTCCCTCGTTCTCTCTCTCCCTCGTTCTCTCTCTCTCTCGTTCTCTCTCTCTCTCTCTCTCTCTCTCGTTCTCTCTCTCTCTCTCTCTCGTTCTCTCTCTCGTTCTCTCTCTCTCTCTCTCGTTCTCTCTCTCTCTCGTTCTCTCTCTCTCTCTCTCGTTCTCTCTCTCTCTCGTTCTCTCTCTCTCTCTCGTTCTCTCTCTCTCTCTCTCTTTTCTCTCTCTCCTCTCTCTCTCTCTTTTTTTTTTTTTGTTTTACACAGGGTTTGACAAGGTTAAGGATCCCTAGCTTTATTGACAAGCTATTTACAGGTTAAGGATTCCTAACTTTATTGGCAAGCTAAGAGCTGTTACCTACATCAGCTCATTTGAAAGCATTTTTATTGTTATGAGACATACAAGTAGGGAACAGGATGAAGTTGGAGCCATCTGTGGGCCAGCATTTTCATTTGATCAACTGACTTTATCTCGTTGACATCATTATTCTGTACGAATGTGTTCCATACTCGAGTCATCCTGGGTATATAGGATCTCAGATGGAGTGAAGTTCTGGAGAAGGGTACAGCCAGAGTGAAGTTGCTGCTTTCTGCCTGTCTTGTGCCATAAAAGCTTGTTTCACGCTGTCCTCAAAGTGGATCCAAGTGTGGTACTTTGACAATATTGGCCTTGTACATAACAGTAAGGCCACCCACATCCCTCCTATGTTGAAGGCTCTCTCTCCCTCCCTCGTTCTCTCTCTCTCTCTCTCTCTCTCTCTCTCCCTCCCTCGTTCTCTCTCTCTCTCTCTCTCCCTCCCTCGTTCTCTCTCTCTCTCTCTCTCTCTCTCTCTCTCTCTCTCCTCTCTCTCTCTTCTCTCTCACGTTCTCTCTCTCTCACGTTCTCTCTCTCTCACGTTCTCTCTCTCTCACGTTCTCTCTCTCTCACGTTCTCTCTCTCTCATACGTTCTCTCTCTCTCTCGTTCTCTCTCTCTCTCTCGTCTCTCTCTCTCTCGTCTCTCTCCGTTCTCTCTCTCGTTCTCTCTCTCTCGTTCTCTCTCTCTCTCGTTCTCTCTCTCTCTCGTTCTCTCTCTCTCTCGTTCTCTCTCTCTCTCGTTCTCTCTCTCTCTCGTTCTCTCTCTCGTTCTCTCTCTCTCTCGTTCTCTCTCTCTCTCTCGTTCTCTCTCTCTCGTTCTCTCTCTCTCTCTCTCGTTCTCTCTCTCTCGTTCTCTCTCTCGTTCTCTCTCTCGTTCTCTCTCTCGTTCTTCTCTCTCTCGTTCTCTCTCTCTCTCGTTCTCTCTCTCTCTCGTTCTCTCTCTCGTTCTCTCTCTCGTTCTCTCTCTCGTTCTCTCTCTCGTTCTCTCTCTCTCTCGTTCTCTCTCTCTCTCGTTCTCTCTCTCTCTCGTTCTCTCTCTCTCTCGTTCTCTCTCTCTCTCGTTCTCTTCTCTCTCTCGTCTCTCTCTCTCTCTCGTTCTCTCTCTCTCTTGTTCTCTCTCTCGTTCTCTCTCTCGTTCTCTCTCTCTCTCTCGTTCTCTCTCTCTCTCTCGTTCTCTCTCTCTCTCTCGTTCTCTCTCTCTCTCTCGTTCTCTCTCTCTCTCTCGTTCTCTCTCTCTCTCTCGTTCTCTCTCTCTCTCTCGTCTCTCTCTCCTCGTTCTCTCGTTCTCTCTCTTCTCCTCTCTCTCTCTCTCTCTCGTTCTCTCTCTCTCGTTCTCTCTCTCTCGTTCTCTCTCTCTCGTTCTCTCTCTCTCGTTCTCTCTCTCTCGTTCTCTCTCTCGTTCTCTCGTTCTCTTCTCTCTCTTCTCTTCTCTCTTCTCGTTCTCTCTCTTCTCGTTCTCTTCTCTCCTCGTTCTCTTTCATTCTCTCATTCTCTTTTATCCTCTCTCTTCCTCATTCTCTCGTTCTCTCTCTCTCGTTTATTCATTTTACCTCATTTACTCTCACCGTATATTAGGACTACAAATATTTTAACGTAAGTAATAAGTGTACTGTATATGCATTTTATCGCTCTAGGGCGCTTTAACCCTTAAACGGTCCAAACAGATAGACGTTCAAATTCGTATTGCTACAAAAGTAAATCTACTTTTTTTTACATATTTTCAAATATAACAAAAAAAAATGTAGATAAAAGTTTTTTTCACGCATTTTCAAATGTAAAACAAAAAAGAAGATCTACATTTTTTTACATACTTTCTGATGTTGAAAAAACGTATATACACGTTCGGACCATTTAAGGGTTAAATGTCGTAGTATATTACATATGGTTGGGGTAGCCTGGCTGGTTACCATACCTCCCACAATGGAACCCAACCTGCCGTTTAAGTGGGGCCCTACAGTATATTCATCAATTTCCATTTGTGTCGTAAGAGGAGGCTAAAATACCAGGAACAAGGAGCTAATAACTCTAGTGTACATTACTACACAGAAAAAGAAAAACTTTAGGTTAACTTGCCTCAGTGGGAAATGGTCAGAGTGTTGAAAAAAATAAAATTTACCATTTTACCATGTAGCACCTCAAATAGTTTCCACTGACTCCAAGAAATTTCCTGCATTGTTATTTTTTCCAAAACTTTCCTAACAATATTTCTACCACCACAAGTTATTGAAAATGTGAACCCTGGACATGCGATGTAAGAGATTCTACTGTAAGTGGAGAAACCCATCATGAGAGAAAATATCCAGGAAAAATTCTTTCAGAACAAAGAAACTAAAACCAGTTACAGGGTATATAAAGAAATATACAGCAGTATGAACATAGATGAAGGCTTTTCGTTATCCCTCTTTTGGAGGAATTTTCAAGGGGAAATGATTCATCAAGTAAACACACAAAACAAATACTACTAACATTTCTGAATCAAAGCACAGTTGTAAGATTTTACAATGGGAAGTTCATAAAAGCACTGTGAATCCCCATGGATGGAAAGGGATCATGCCACTCATGAAATTTAGGAACTTTAACACAGTAAGAATAGTGAGAGAAAGAAATTTCTTTGCTTGGGAACAACTCTTTTTACTGAGAGTAAAATATAGTGCAGCAGTTAAAACTGGCTTCTACCCCTTCCTTTTACTTTTACAGAAAGGTTTTCTAAAATTTATTAGGCAAAGCAATTTCAACATCTGCTTCAAAAGCATTTCCACCAAGTATAACTAGCTATATGTAGATAAAAATATAGTATAACACACTGTACATTACAAATTAAGCTATTTCCCTTTTAAACATACTGTACAATTACTATTTTCTAATATTAACATTTATATTTTCTATAGGTTTACTAGAAAATATAATATTCTGAATAATATCATTAATCACTATATAATGTCAACCAAAAACTTCATCTGCTTACATTAAGGTTATGATAGTCTCCCGTTTCATCTGGGGGCCGAGGTTTGCATTTTCCACAGCAGAAGTTGCAACAGCAACAGAAGCAACAACATAGATAGCAGCCTGTGATTAACCCGCAGAAGAGGAACAGCGCCTGTAAAGTAAAATAAGAAATAGTAATACAACAAACACTTCGTGGCACCTACAAGATAAATGAACTGTAACAAGTTTTATGTATAGTACTGCAGTTTTCAATTAAATTAGTATGAACACTGTCAATTTACATAAATTATTTGAAGTTTACAGTGTCTGAAATAATATATTTCATACAATATTAATGAGAGGCTACAATACCAAACCTTACCTTACACCATCCTGAGTTTACAAGGAAGTATGTATTAACATTTTCTTCTCCAAACTGCTCAGCTATATACAGCCCAAGTGAACCATAATTATCATATATATTCCTCTTGGTAGGGTCACTGAGAATGCCATGGGCATGGTTAACCTCTTTGAACTGAGGGAAAAAAAAACTGGGATAAAGTAAAACTGCAAAAAAAAAAAAAATCGATAATTATTAAGTACAATACAGTAGTATTTTGTTACAGAATTATGAAAACAATGCTTTAAGATTGGCAAAAATAATTATACTAGGAAGATGAACATACCTGTCTTACTTTTACATGGCAATAATAAAGTGTTAAAAATTAGGTGCCCTCTCAAAAGAACATTGGTGAAACATTCAATGAAGTTCAGTTCCCAGGCTTGGTATTATGTACAGGCAAGTGCGTGTACCCCTGCTGCCATCTTTCACCTAGCAGTAAATAGGTTTCTAAGTGTTATTTACCTGTGACCTGTTTCAAGTGATTTTCTACCCTTATAGTCTGGCATAAGGCCCAGCTGTTATGGGTGGCATTCCAAGGGGTGAAAGTATAACTTAGATAGATTTGGGCATTGAAATGAGCCAACAGAATAAAGAGCTCAACCTACATTACCCACTGCCACCTTATCTTCCACCCTAATCCACAAAGGAGGTGATCCAACTGACTTGAACAACTAGAGACCCATATCAAACTTGCCCTTCTATCCAAAATATTTGAAAAAATAATACACAAGCGACTTTACTCCTACCTTACATCCAACAACATACTTAACCCATGCCAGTTTGGGTTTAGACAAAAAAAAAAAAGTATGAATGACACTACTATACAAATGCTTGAACTAATATACACAGCTAGTAGCGACCAGTGAAAAGGCGGGGCCAGGAGCTTGAACTTGACCCCTGCAACCTCAACTAGGTGAGTACAACTAGGCGAGTACAGCTCTCAATAAAAATGAATATCCTCTGGGCTCTTCATCGACCTACGAAAAGCGTTTGATACAGTCGACCACAATCTCTGGCACCTAAAACCGAATCATTAAGGCATCAGAGGACATTCTCTTGACTACCTAAAATCCTATCTTAACGACAGACACCAGCATGTACAGTGGACCCTCAACCAGCGATATTAATCCATTCCTGAGAGCTCATCGTTAATCAAAATAATCATTAGTCAAGTTAATTTTCCCCATAAGAAATAATGGAAATCAAATTAATCCGTGCAAGACACTCCAAAGTATTGAAAAAAAAAAAATTTACCACATGAAATATTACTTTTAATACACACAAACTGAAGAAGACATGCACAGTTACATGACACTTACCTTTATTGAAGATCTGGTGATGATTGATGGGATGGGAGGAGGGGAGACCGTTGATCTTGTTAGTGTTTAGAAGGGGAATCCCCTTCCATTAGCACTTGAGGTAGGAAGTCTTTTTCTGGGGTTACTTCCCTTGTTCTTTTAATGCCACTAGGACCAGCTTCAGAGTCACTGGACTTCTGTCGCACAACATATCTGTCCATAGAGGCCTGTACCTCTCGTTCCTTTATCCTGAAGTGTTTCACAACATTGTCAGTGTAATAGTCACCAGCACGGCTTGCAATAGCTGTGTGAGGGTGATTTTCATCAAAAAAGGTTTGCACTTTAAGCCACATTGCACACATTTCCTTAATCTTTGAAGTAGGCAACTTCTTCAATTTCTCTCTCCCCTCCTCCGAAGCAGTTTCCTCAAATGTGGCCTCTTACTGTTGAAGATGATCTAGCAGCTCATCAGTGGTTTGTTCTTCATTGTCCTCCTCCACCAACTCTTCCACATCCTCCCCACTACCCTCACCAATATGAGCACTAGTTCCCGGCATTTTTTCCTGTTCACCTGGGTGTTAGTCAACTGTTGTGGGTCGCATCCTGGGGGACAAGATTAAGGACCCCCAATGGAAATAAGTTAGACAGTCCTCGATATGATGCATGACTTTCTTGGTGTTATCCTGGGTGGCTAACCCTCCAGGGTTAATCGTTTCTCGGTAATTGTTTCACGTTAAGCCACACCAACAACACTCTCTCCACATCTTCGAGTAATACAGCTGATGGTGGTGCAGCAACAACAACAGCTGACTGTGGTGCAGCAGCAGCTGCACCTTTGGCAAGAACAGCATCCTTGATTGCCGTTTTCTTACCCACAATAGTAGCGATGGTTGATTGGGGTTTATTATACAACCTGACCAGCTCAGAGACACGCACTCCACTTTCATACTTAGCAATGATCTCTTTCTTCATCTCCATAGTAATTCTCACCCTTTTTGCTGTAGGGTTGGCACTAGAAGCTTTCTTGGGGCCCATGGTGACTTATTTTGCAGGTGTAATCACTACAAAGGCTGTGATAATATGAAATGTTCCAGTTGTTGTATGTTTGGAAGCGACCGCAGTGGCTGGCTGGCTTGTAAACACTGTCACCCAAGGGACAAGTGAGGCGCGCTCAGGCCAAAGTGGACGCGTATGGTACGGAACGAATAGCGCTGGTCGGGTTTTTAAGCGCTAGTTGAGGCAAAATTTTTGCATTTAAATGTATCGCTAGTCAGATTTATCGTTAATCAATGCCATCGCTGGTTAAGGGTCCACTGTATCTGCAAATGGAGTCAACTCCGCTATCCAACCTGTAGCTGTAGGAGTATCCCAGGGTAGTGTCCTAGGCCCACTCCTCTTTCTCATCTACATCAATGATCTCCCCAATGCATCCCAACTCCTTAAACCAGTTCTATTCGCAGATGACACTACTTATGTCTACTCCCATTCAGACCCAGCTGTACTTAGAAACACTAAACAATGAGCTGCTAAAGATATATACTTGGATGATGACCAACAAACTCACTCTCAACATAGACAAAACATACTTCATGCTGTTTGGCAACAGAGCCTTAAATATCTAACTTAATATATTGATGAATGGTTCCCCTATATCAAGACACACGGAGGGCAAATTTCTAGGCCTTCTCTTTGACTGCAATCTTAAATTTCAGTCCCACACCCATCACATAGCCAAGAAAATTTAAAAATCAGTAGGAATCTTTTCCAAGATATGATACTATGTACCACAAACAACACTCCTTACCCTATACCACTCTCTAATATATCCTTACTTCACCTATGGTATTTGTGCCTGGGGCCCAACCACAGCCAGCCACTTTAGGCCCTTAATAACCCAACAAAAATCTGCTGTGCAGGTGATAACCAGCTCCTGAGCTAGACAGCACACCCCACCACTTTTCAAAAGACTGAACTTGCTAAATATACAAGACATACACTCGTATTATTGTGCCTACTACATATACAGAAAATTAAACTCCACTGTAAACTCTCCCCTAAAGTTACTCCTTGACAGTTACAAGAGAATGCAGTCACTATACAAGGCATAAGGCACTTTTCAACATCCCTTGAGTCAGTCTCTCACTATGCAAGAATGCTATGCACATAAAGGGCCAGAAGATCTGGAACTCGCTACCAGAACAGGTCAAGGATCCCCTGACAACTTATAAATTTAGGACTTTGCTAAAAAATCATCTTATCTCTCAATATTAACCAAATCAACCAAAACATCTGCTAAGTAGTTTTATTATGTGACCTCTAGGCTTTTAATTCTGCCAATTCATAAAATATTACCACCTGAACCATTACTTGTAATATAGATTTTGTGTACAATTTCAAGATTATTTTATGGAACCTTACTCCACCTTACTACCTCACATTTGTATTAGTTTAAACAAGTTTGTAAAATGGTTAATCACTACTACTTGTCTAGTTTAAAGTATAGTTACTATGTACTTATTATCTTCTCTGGTTTTAAATAGTTACTATGTATTTGGATTAGTCTGCCCAAAATGCCCCGGCATGATAGTGGCTATCTTTGTACTTAAATCAAAATTGTAATTACACACTGTGACCTTATCTAAAGGGTATGACACCCCCCTAAAAAAAAATCACCCTAATTCATTCAATCACTGTCTTTCAGATAATCCTACAACTTCAGCATTCCCACCCCTCCTAAGTGCAGGCGCTGCTCTTCCCACCAGGGTGCAAGTCTGGCTAACCAGTTTCCCTGAATCTTTTCATAAATGTTACCTTGCTCACTTTCCAACAGCACATCAAGCATTAGAAAAAAAACTTTGACTCCATATGAAAGCAAAATACTCGGCAGGAGATGCAACATTCCCCCAATGAAAAGCAGGGGCACCATGAGTACACTGAGAGAACATAATAAGTGTCTGGGGCCCAAGACTGTTCAATTGCCTCCCAGCATACATAAGGGGGATTACCAATAGACCCCTGGCTGTCTTCAAGAAGGTACTGGACAGGCACCTAAAGTCAGTACCTGACCAACTGGGCTGTGGTTCATACATCAGCTTGCATGCAGCCAGCAGTAACAGCCTGGTTGATCAGACCCTAATCCACCATGAGGCCTGGTCTCGGACCGGGCCGCGGGGGCGTTGACCCCCCAAAACCCTCTCCAGGTAAACTCCAGGTAAAACCCAGTCCAATCTAACACACTCACATAAGAATGTCAGATGCTCAAGTCCTTTGCACTCTAAACATCCTTTACTCCTCCTTCCAACACTTATTGTAATGACATCTACCTCTCCTTCCTTCCACCACAGATTAATATAGTGCCTTTTTCATCCTATCCAATACTGAAACTATGTATTGTGCCAAAACAAAAGCATTCACATTGCTAAACTCACAAACTAGTATTTAGTCACTTAGCCATAATACCAACCTCATAATTTGTAATATTTTAAATTTAAGAATTAATCTCAGTCTGCCCGAAATGCCTAGCCATGCTAAGTGTTCTAGTGGTACCCTCTGTAATATTATTTTACTACATGTAAACCACACAATAACCAAATTCTGTAAACTCAGCATTGTAATCCTTATAGAGAATAAACTTTGAATTGAATCTCTAACTGACCAATCACCTCAGCCCTATGAATTATCCCCATAACCCCACAGGCTTCTAATTTCTACGCTCTGAATTCTCTGCACAATATTCAGACAAAATGTTCTCAAACATGACAGCATTGCCTCTAGCCTCCTTTTCACAGTAACTTTCAAATCTTATGCCTCACACCTACATACGGGTGCTGGTAC